ATGACGGAGAGGCCTGTGGCTCTGCAGCAGACGACGGAGAGGCCTGTGGCTCTGCAGCAGACGACGGTGAGGCCTGTGGCTCTGCAGCAGATGACAGAGAGGCCTGTTGCTCTGCAGCAGACGACGGAGAGGCCTGTGGCTCTGCAGCAGACGACGCAGAGGCCTGTGGCTCTGCAGCAGACGACGGAGAGGCCTGTGGCTCTGCAGCAGACGACGGAGAGGCCTGTGGCTCTGCAGCAGACGACGGAGAGGCATGTGGCTCTGCAGCAGACGACATGGAGGACCATGGAGGCGAATCCTCAGTGGTATTGGAGAGCGCCGATCCCTCTGGAGACTTGGAGAGCGCCGACCCCTCTGGAGATTTGGAGAGTGCCGACCCCTCTGGAGATTTGGAGAGCGCCGACCCCTCTGGAGATGTGGAGAGTTGAGGAGCGTCTGCCGGGACCCCCTCGGAATAGGAGAGATGAGGAGCGTCTGAGGGACCCCCTCGGAATAGGAGAGATGAGGAGCGTCTGTCGGGACCCCCTCGGAATAGGAGAGATGAGGAGCGTCTGTCGGGACTCCCTCGGAATAGGAGAGATGAGGAGCGTCTGTCGGGACCCCCTCAGAACAGGAGAGATGAGGACCCACTTCAGGGGCTGCGTGCAGCGTGGAGTCCACCTCAGGGATGGCTGAAGCAGGAGTCTTTAGAGTCTGTAACTCAGTTAATAAAACATCATATTCGGGGAGCAAAGGGAAAGAAAGTAAAAAATCATCCATCTGGGACAAAACGAAATCAAAGGAGGACGGGTTTCTTTTAGCAGAACTAAATAGTTCGAGAATGGTCTGATTAATATGAAAAATATCTTCAGGGGAAAATGAATGAAAAAAGGGAATGTCTGTATGAGTGGGTGTGGTGACAGGTGCCGCCCCCACCGGAAACTTGGAAGGTGAGGCGGCGGGACACGCCCCCACGGGGTCACAATGAATACTCTCCGGAGGTATGGCCAGGCTGGGTCGAACAGCCGCAGCGTGGAGTGGCGGTGAGAGGCTGGATTCCGCCCCCACCAGGAACCTGGAAGGTGAGGCGATGGAACCCGCCCCTGTAACGTCAACCAGACCGGACTCACCGAACCGAACAGGAGTGGACCGGAGCTTCCGCGGGACGCTGGATCTCGCCCCCACCGGAAACCTGGGAGGTGAGGCGGCGGACCCCGCTCCCACGAAAACATCGGAACCAGCTCTAAAGTTCTGCTCGGCCGACGAGACCGGGTCGGTCGCAGCAGACTGCCTCCGGAACCGTCTTCTGCCACTGCGGCGGCGGTGGGACGGCGGAAGGACAGAGACGGAGAGGAGTTTGTCCATAATGGCACGAGGAGGAAAAAAGAAAAAAGGTGAGTGCTGCCGAGTGAGAACCCTGCCCGCTGGGTTCTGTTCTGGTCGGGTCGTACTGTTAGGATTTGTGTCAGGAGCGAACCCAGAGTGCAGAACAGGGACTCAACTCGGCAGAAATACAAAAATAGGATTTTAATGAGATATTAAAGTACAAAATAACAAGCTGACGGGGCAGCAAAACTTACATGAATGTAGGAAAGGAGGCACGGGAAACTCAGGAGGCACGAGAGACACGGGGAACTCGAGGAACCAGGAAGACTCAGGGAAAGACTCAGAGACCCAACAAAGAGTACCCAACGAAGATGACCCGACGAAGAACAAGACAGAACAGGCGGCTTATATGCATAGACAAGATGAGACATAATTGCAGACAGCTGGGACGAGACACGGGTGGTAACAATGGAAACTAATGAGGGAGCACGAGGGAAACAGACACAAACCGGGCCACAGAAAAGTACCATTCTTACAGTTTCTTTCTTTTGTGCTGAAACATTTCGCCTTCGGTCCGGAAGGCATCACAAGTCAAGGAAACACATAACAAAACTGATTCTTCCCCCAACAGCTTACTCCAAAATGGAACAAACAGTTCTGCTTGTGATAAGATGGTCACTGCAATGATTGGATTATTGAGCATGGACTTTGTTATTACAACCTGTGCCTCACTTACCCATTCATACAGCTGTAGTGAACTAGGCCTGAGGTCAAATCCTGACCTTAAGGACCTTATGGGACAGAAACTGTCATTTCATTGATTTGAATCCAGAAATACAGGTTGACCCATCCTGAGACTTTCTTTCTTGAATTAATCAAGTGAAAGAAGACTACTTTCGATTATCATTACTATTTTACAAATGTTTCAAACCATTTTAAATGTTGAAGTGAACTACTCATTTTTAAATCAACTGTGAAACAGTAATAACGATTTTTAATCCTCATTCAAAGTGGAAATCAAGTTGGAATATGTTACAGAGTAATGATTCAATTTCTTGATCGTCTGTTTGAAATGAGCAAGTTGTGTAAGTTGGTCAAAGTTCAAGTTTCGGTCAACTGCAAGTTTACTGAAAAAGAAATGTCATGTTTAACTTTTACAGCAAGATACTAGAGAATTGACTCCACGAAATCTGAGTTCTTCATAATATCTTCTGTCTGTTCTTAAACAATCTTAATCTTTTTCCTTGACTTTTTAATAACACCTTACATCACAAAACATACCTCTGTTTTGGTCCATCGACCAATCAGAAACTCCCAAATGAACCGGAAACAGAGCTCTTTAAATGTCGGTACTTCCTAGTTCAACCCAGTTGGAGTCGGGTGGAGAGTTTGCAGCTCCAGTCGTTTGGGAGAACAGAAGTCCAGCATAATCCAGAGCTCTTCCGAGTCTTGTGGGAATTATGACATCTTCCACCTCTGAGTGGAACTTCTGAAGGACTCCACTCATGTGAAGTCCACTCGTGAGGTGAACTGTTGTTGATGAAGTCCCGCCACCACTCCGGACGGTTCTCTGCCATCCTACGGAGACGCTGGACCGGTAGCTTAACTGGAGCTCCGCTTCCACTGATTCATCGTCAGAGAGGTAATGAGTCGAGTTCACTACCGAGCGTACCGAGGAAAGCTGGGTCGAATGGAGGGTGCCGTTCTGTTCAACACTTTTCACTCACACACACACCATCTCCCTCCCTCTAAACTTCAATCTTTAAACTCTTCTATCTGCTAGCAAATTAATCCAGATATTTCCAGAAATGTCTGTTGTGAAGTTTTTCAACCATCGCCGTATGGTTAATGTCTGTTGTACTACTGGAAGTGAGAAAACAATCGCCGTATTGTTTCCTCCTTGTAAAACTTGCTAAATTAGCCATGTTGTTATAAATCATTTTGCCAAATTAATGTAAATGTGTGATGTGTTCAAATCGTTTTAAATAAATGACCCACTGTCGTTGGTGAGTCAAAGATAAACACGTTTCCGTCCACATTTTATTAAATTCAATGCACGTACATTATACAGTCCAGAAAAATGAAAGAATCCGTTTAATTTATGAATATATATCAGCATATGTTCATCTACACAGCACTCTACTACATCTCTACAAAGCTAATCTGAATCTGTAGAGACTAATCAATGACTTTTCACATTCATACACCTATAGGACACTCATCAGAAGTAATGAGGGGTTCAGTGTCTTGCCCAGGGACACTTCAGCATGACTGCTGGTGGGATCGAACCCTCAACTCTCCCATTGGATAACTGCTCTAACTACTCAGCCACAGCTGCCCCAAATTAACTATAATCCCATAGAGCATTAACACAAGTGTAGTACTTTTGTTGAAATGTCATATTTTTTTACACAAATTTCTGTTCACAAAAACTTTCAAACAAAATTTAAATGACTTTCTGGGGTAAGGTGAAGCAAACCTGTCAGGGGCAATGCCAACAATGTTGATAAACTATTTTAAGTTCAAGTATCTTTATTATCCCCGAGGGGCAATTAGTTTCACAGTCAGTAGATGTGTACATATACACACACATGCACATACACACACATACACATATATACATAAGCATACATATATACACAAGACATTAAGACATTAAAGTAACAGTATTGAAATTATATTTAACATTTGCCCTGTGGACAAATACAGCATTTAACCTTTTATGCCATCTGGTTTTCCATCACCGTCAGCTGTCAACGTGACTGTCCTCTGCGTCACCACAAAAAACTACATCACTGCCTCACTCTGTGCCTGTCTTTCACTGTTTTCAGACTAAACATCAGTGACAGCGACATGTTGACCATCACTGATGGTGATGAAATCACGACCCTTATTCTGGGACGCTACGTTGGAGGCAGCAGCCCCTTCAAGTTGTCCTCCACTACACCAGACCTGACTATCGCCTTCCACTCTGACCCTGCTGGGCTCGTCTTTGGGAAGGGTGAAGGCTTCATCATCAACTACATGGGTGAGAGTGACTGCCTAAAGAACACTGTTGTTCACAACTCACAACTGCAAAACTTCCGGAGGTTAAATTTCAACAATATGCTTGTAAATACATTGGTGCAAAACCGTTTGAATTTTGTATATCCTAAATTACAACCACTTCCCCTTTGTACAGTGGGTAAAATATTTTCTGATCCACTGCTGATTTTCCTGGACAATTCACACAAATCACCAAATCTACATATATATATGTGTATCTTATCTCACTCAGCCTTATAACCTGAACCCCTCACTCACTGTTCTTTGAATTGAGAAAGCTCCTCGGATGAGAAGCGAAACGTCTTCTGTTACAAATAAAGTCCAATTGTTCATGTATTGAAAGTTTTTTTAATTCATCATGTCCTGGATGAATGAGAATATTCACCAGCATATGTGGCCTGTCTATTGGCCCCTCAGGGAATTTAATTTATCCTTCACCCTTAGCAGAAAATCAGCTGACAAAGGAAAAATACAGATGCTTAATGTGTAGGGACACTAACAAAATACTGTATAATGACAAACAGCTGGGGTGATTAGAATTTGAGACAGGTGAGACAGTAGCTGACAACAAGGATGGAAAACACTGGATAATCCAGGAAACACAACAAACTAAAGGGAAAAAAATACAGATTACCACACTCCTAAGCATTTGTAAGGCTGGTTTTGCACCACAGAAACATGGGCATCATATTACACTCCAGTCCCATGCTGTAGGTTGATAATCTTAGGATGCTAATGACAATAGATGTTCTTGGTTGCTGAGTTACATTCAAAAGCAGTAATGTTTTTATTTTCCTAAATTCTTCATTAGTGTTGTGGCAAGGACAGAAACTCACTGGAATCAATTTAGTTTTAATTGTTTCTACAGCAATTGCAAACAAAAGCAACAGCACAAATACCCATTTCCTGGAAATGAAAACTGTCAGTTTTGATAATTAACTGAAAAACAGAGTAGACAAAAAACACACACTATATATATACA